TTTTTTTGTTTTGAAGAAATGGCAATATAATCTCTAAAGCCAACCCTATGTTGACATACACAGATCACACTTACATACTCAGGTCCCACCAGGAAAAGGTTCAGCTACTACTGGAGCAGAAAACGACAACAAACTCGCATTCCTAATATCTCGAATAGAGCATGGGTTCAAGACATCCGTATACCGCAAGTTAACGTTCACCGGACAATACCTCAACTTCAGATTCCATCACCCATACAATGTAAAGAAAGAGATCATCCACTGCTTACAACTTCGAGCAAATTGTTAAATTTAAATGGATAACTAATAAAAAAAAACTTATCTACGAACACAAAAAGGATCTTATACACAAGAATTTACCAAATGCATTTGTCATACATAATAAATTCAATTACAACTTCGATCTAAAGAATACCACACTTATTTAAAGAGAAAAAAACTTTAACTGAAAATTGTTGAGACTGCTGCTATCGAATTTTACCAAAATATAAATCTGCGCCCCGGATTTGTCAAATAACTTCGTTCATGAAAGACAAACTACTTTCTTCCAAGTCAACATACATGAATACAAAAATGTTAAAAAAATTATTAAATTCATAACCCAATGTTATTTAATAGATAGAATTTATTTAAGTAAATGCACTGTTTTTCAATTAAACAGTACTAATTACATTTACCGGACTGAATGTTTATGAAAGTTCGTTGGAAATATGCGTTCTCCAACATAAAATCGAACCTGTGTCTCATACAGAACCGTCAATTGATCTGACATGCTATACCATTTAGCTATAGAGAAGCGTCTAGTTAGCAAAGTCCAATTTTGTTGTTTAAAAACATTAATGATGGATCCCGATAGGACATAGGTTCGAGTCAGTTCGGTGAATGTAATTAATACTGTTTAATTAAAGAGACAGAACATTTACTTAAATAAATTGTAACTAAAAAGTGTTTCATTAAGACGGATCAAAGTCAGCAGTAAATAAATCAGTATTATTGGTGAAAATTTATTTATTTCTCTATTGGATCATGTTATTTAAATCATGGCAATTATGTGTGAAAAATAATATTGCCCAAATGTCCGCCAACGCTTCGGCGGCACACCTCCACTCGATGGTCAAAATTTTGATGACGTCTCTGCATAGTTGCTCCTTGATCTCACCAATATGCCTTATTATCTCATCCTTCAGCTGTTGAATTGTTGTTGGCTTGTTGGCATAGACCTTACTTTTGAAATGACCCCAAAGGAAGAAAACTAAAGGCGTCAAGTCGCACGATAGTGGCGGTCAATTGACTTCACTGTTTCGAGAGATGATGCGACCTGGGAACTTCTCATTGCATTTCAGTTTGAACATGGTTGAAATAGCCAACAACTTAAGTTGTTAAATCTGAAAGAAAAAGAAAAAAATCACTAGACGCTTAAACTTAATTCACATTTAAAATCAGTCCAATTTATTGGAACAGCCTTTATTAAAATAACGTGTAAACAGAAAATATATTAAATAATTGTTGGATTTAATCCATTTCATAACACACACACACACACACACACACACATATATATATATATATATATATATATATATATATATATGAAGTATACATTGACGGCACTATACAAAGGAACGAAATGAATTTCAATGAAATTTGTTGCGACAGACACTGAATTTAATTTGTTTGCTCTACTTCCATTAGTTACATACCTATTTTTCTCTAAGTGCCGTTGCCGACAAACACTTTGAGCTTTAAATGTCACCATGTACAAGTTTGTCCTTGGTTCATTTAATGGGAGCAGCATTGGTGTTATTTGGTTGGTTAAAGACGAGACCTGTGTTTACCAAGCGTTGCATCAAGGACGAATTGTTTTGTTTTTTGTTTTTTTTTTTTTGGGGGGGGGGCCTTTTTTTTTAAAAAGATAAACCGCTGAGCAGACTGTGAATTCCATCTTTTTATTTGTGGTTTTAAACAATACAATCCCGGTTACGACGAGAATATGGGAGAGAACACCTAACAGGATTTTACGTGATATTTCCGCCCCAAATTCTATTTATAATTATTAAATGTCATAGGCCATAGATGGATATTTAATATTGCTGTTGGGTAATGCAACGGTAAACCCACTCTACTATCTTTTCCTAGAAGTCATGTCATTTCCTATATAATAAAAATTGAATCTGTAAAGATCGATAGCCTTGAAAGGAGATGGCATTAAAAAAATCTCGTTTTTATTGGTGTTGTAGAGATTTTAACTGCCATTATTGTTTTGCATGTCACCGATAACAACATGAAGATATAATAGCGTAATCAAGATGTTGATATTCCACACTACTTCAAATAAAAGGTTAGGAAGGAAACCCTTACCAGTACTGGAAAGTACGATAGAGGCTACTGGATTTGAGAAATCTATTTTCCTGAGAAATCGTTTTAAGAGAAAAGTTTTAAAAAATTCAATCGACGTCAGGACTGACTGGACGGTCAATGAATGTTTTCTTATAATGAAACGGCTAATATTACTATTACCATAACAAATAAATAATGCTATCTATTATTTAATATAATAAATTAAGAACAACTGTCATTCCGATACTTTATCAGATACTGGAACTTTTGAAGAAAGTCAGGGTATTCAACGTGGAATGTCTTAAACATATTTTAATTATAACAATAAGGGTAGTAAGTGTTTTCTCTATTACATTATTTATTGTTATTATTCAAATTTTGAAAACTTAAATGAAACACTTCACATAAAATTAAAAAAAATATTGCAATGAAGTCGTCATGGACATTGTTATGCAGAAGTCAATTAAATATGACAATTGTATCAGGATCAACACTATTAAAGGAAAAAAAGTAGATAAAACAGACAAAATCATATAAGTTATATGAAAATGGAATATAAAAAAACTGGTACGACAAAGCAGAAACGGTAATCCGCTTGGAATTACTCGAGGTCAGCTTCTAGGTAAGTTGGTTCACTGTACTTTACTAAACACTTTATTCTCATCAGAATCTATCTTACACATTTAATAGTTTCCCAGATTGGAAAGTGGAAAAATATCAAGACGTTGATTGATAACTGGAGAACTGGGTCGTGCCAATAATTATCGGTATACTGGGAACACAATAGGAAGACTGAAGAAACTAGAAATAAAAAATTAAGACGATGACATGCGCCACAACACTTTTGAAAATATCGCGAGATTACTTTAGAGAAAATATCGCGTGATCAATGTAGAGAAAATATCGCGAGGTCACTCATGAGAAAATATCGCGAGATTACTGTAGAAATATCGCGAGATCACTGTAGAGAAAATATCGCGAGATTACTGCAGACAAATACCACGAGATCACTGTAGTGAGAATATGGCGAGGTTACTGTAGAGAAATAACAACATACAGTTTGAGTATAGAAATTTGTTAAAACAAAATTTAAGTAAAATATTGTATTCTTTTTGCTCTCAGAAGTATTTTGTTTGTTAATGGCAGAAAATAATAAAATCTAGATGTGAATTTGCTAAAGGAGTTGTAAAGTCAGTGGGCATTCACAAAAATAGTTTAAATGCAATTGGTGCTAAAATATAACCATGATTATTGTTTCATTTGTCTCAGAATGTCAAAAGTCATTGCATACATAGTGATTAGTGCTAATAAAAGTTTTGAAGTATTGTTTAAAAAATAACCTTGTGATATCCCAGGTAGGTAGATAAACAACTCTTATACGAGAATATCCGCAGCAGAAAGTTGCACTTATGTGAAAACATATATTGTAAATATAAGCGAATTAATCAAAGTTAAACGTCTATCTTTCAGAGACGACAATTCGTGACTTAAATATTCTTTTAATAATAATTTTTTGCATTTGTTGTCCATTTCAGGCCTGGATCTTCGTTTATCATTGATTGTACAACTCAAACCACGTTGTGTTTCGATTCCTGTCAACATTGTTGTGCACAGAAACTGGGAAAGGCCCAGTTTGGGTTCACATGAAAATGAGTTGAAAATTTCGCCACTGCGAGAAATGAAATATTCACCTGGCAAAGTCTGCGGCTCCCGACGGATGGCTTGTAACTCTCAATTTTAAATGTATGTGACATAAGTCTACGACTGGAACCTTTCAACTTCCGGCCAAGTGACACATAATCCCGAAATTTCTCATTTATTTTATTTTCTTTTTATATTTCTGTCAATGGGAGGACGTCTTGGATTTTACTGCTTGCGTCTCGGACGCGGATAGAACCATTGAAAAGCCATTTTACTTCATAAGTTTTCTATGTCATTCGTGTGGTGGTCCCATTGTGTCGCATGAAGAGTAACGTGTTTTTGTGAAATTTTGTTTCAGATTAGGACATGCTTTTACAAAGAGTTTTCTAATGTTGCAACAGGCTGATATAGAAGATTGGCGTGCGCCGTACACAATGCAAAACAAAGAAAAAAATAACCAAAGAAAGAAAAACCAAAACAGAAACTCACAAATATTAAGAAGATGATTACCATTTTTGGGGCTGGGGGGATTGGAATAACATTGTTAACCATAAGTTTATCCCACGCGATAAAACAGTTAATAAAGAATTTTACCGGGGAGGGAGGCATTTCCCTACGACAAAGCACCTGCTGATAATTACTTCATTTTTTTGGTATGAGACAACATTTGCCTTCAGTCACCCTCCTCTTCAGATATGATCTCTGCAGAGTTTTTGTTTTTTGTTTCTAATGATGAAATCCAACCTGATTGATAGAGTGACTTTTTACGGCTTATCAACTCTCTGCAGGTTATTTAAAGCCAGACAATATTTTTAGGTGATAAGAATTGTTGGGAGCTAATAATGATTTACTGATACAATTCCTACTAATTAACCCATAACTGGTGGGAGAAGAGGTGGATTCATACTTTTCTAAAGGATATTTGGGCTTAAGTGAATAGAACGAACCTAATAGGAATTAGAACTCGGTATTTCGATTTTTAATTCTGAACAGTTATCCATTACACCATTCACACATCCAAGCTTACAACACCTGATATTCCGAATCGGTTACCCATCTAAGTACTGATTAGGCTCGACGTTGCTTAACTTCGGTGAACCTACGATAACCGGTGTTTCAACGTAATATTGCCATAAGCCAAATCCAGCCTGAATGGTCGTCTATTTCAGACGATAGAAGAACGTGTGTTACGAAACTCGTGTGCCTTCTCAACTACGAAACTCGAGTACCCTCTCAAATACGAAACTTGCGTACATTCTCAATTACGAAACTCAGGTACCTTCTCAACTAAGAAACTCGGGTACCTCCTCAACTACGATACACGTGTACCTTCTCAACTACGAAACTCGTGTACCTTCTCCACTAAAAAACTCGGGTACCTTCTCAACTACGAAACTCGAGTACCTTCTCAACTACGAATGTCGGTTACCTTCTCCACTAAGAATCTTGTGTAAGAATCTCGTGTACCTTCTCATCTCGTACACCATCTTTGATTTCTAGACCACATTCAAGTAAAATGAAATGAAAAAGTTGGTAAGTTTTTTATTTTAAAAAATTTACCAACATTTTTTCTTAAAATAAACTTTTTTTCGTAAAATAAACTAATTTATGCTGAATTGAAAAAAAGTACCCATAATTTTTTTTTTTATCACCAGAGGATAATATTTTTCCCTCTCAATTTAATGTTGAACATGAAAAAATGATCAAAATCTAACGATTAGCAGATGTTTGTGATTTCTTGTAGTTTGAGAGAAGTCTACATAAATTGCAATATTGAAATAACGTGAAGAATTTTAGAATTGCGCAAATACATTTTTTTCGCCGAGGGAAAAAAAAAAAATGAAACAAAAACGAGCACCAACAATAATATCTATTTGCATAAAAATATACAAAAAATGGCACAAGGCCTAAAATGGGGAGAGATAGAGCTGATTATTCTTATTTTATTTTTTAATCTCGCTAAACACAATCATTGACCCAACGATACAAATATGGCTTTTTGCAATACGTCATGTTTACTTCTCCGTCATGCCATAAACACCATTATTTTTTTCTTACTTATTTTTTCCTTTCACTTATGTATTTATTTAGTACTAATGTTCACCCAATCCAAGGCCCAAGAGCCATTCAAGGTAGAGGGTTACTGTGTGGAGTTGTATTAGCGTAAGAAAGTACAATCGTTAGGAATACAGAGCTAAAGTAGACCTTAGAAGAAACCGGAAACCCAATCCTAAACAGGAAAGAAGAGATAAACCTCTAGTCCTCTTCAAAAGTCAAGGGAGGAGTGTGAACAGGACGAGAGGCGAACCTGTCTACTCCTATTTATATTTTTTCATCTTATATATTTATCTTATTTTTTCAATAGTAGATAGGTTAGCCATTCGCCCGGTTCAAACTCCTTCTCCCCTCTATTGAACAGAAGTAGAGGTCTATTCCTTGTTTCCCGTTTAATATTGGGTTTCCGGTTCCTTCTAAAGTCTTATTTTCTTTGACTCCCAGTAACCCCTTCCATTTCAGTGATATTATCACTTTACTTGGGGCGAAATGATTAAAAAAAAAAAATCAATTTCTCTGAAAAGTCAAACCTTTTTCTTTTCTTTTCTTTTTTTCAAAAAAATAACATTTAAACTTCAACCTCACTAAATATTTACAATGAACGAAACTAAACAACAACGACACACACACCCCCTCACACACACCCTCACACACACACACACGCACACACAGTGTCTTGGGTATGACGATAAACTACATCCGGCAGTAAGGCCGGATGAAGCCGGATCGGGAGGTTTTGAGTAGCAGGGAACTACATCTTAATTGCTGCTGCTCTCAGATCCACCCTGACCCGGAGTGGTAGCACCTGTTAGGGTTTCAGCTATGGGCAAATAGTTAACCTGAAAACTGTGTTCCAAAAACAATGAAAGTATAAAAATAGATTTTTATAATAAAAATACCAGCAATACATTTTCATAGTAAAAAAATTACCCGCAATACATTTTTTGAAAAAAAAAATTACTAATGGTCCCAAGAAAATTTAATTTCCGCATTAAATGACCCATACGGAGTTGATGAGCCGCCATACAGACAAACACACACAAACTTAAAAAGAAAAATCTATCTCGAAATAACATTAAATAATTATCTTTACAAAAGATTCTGCTCTCTTTAAATTAATATAATTTAAAAGCTTTTAAATTTTATTCGACGTTTAATTTTATGGGGCAAGTGTTTCGACTTCATTTTATGTTCAAAAGATTTCTGGCACAAAAGTATTGAAGTTAATATCAATAAAACTGAAAATAAATTACACCCCCATTACATTCCGGAGTTTTTATTCAGAATTAATCGCTTCCGTACGCATGCGCAGCAGCGCTTGATCCCCCGCCAAAACACACACATCTTAAAATGGCAGACGATTGACATGGATTAGTTTATAAATTCAAGGGCAGATAATTATATTCGATCTGTAGTCCAAGAAAGATTCTCATCAAGCTGTTATTCTATTACTTACATACCAGATTTGAATGTCGCTTTATGCCAAAGTTGACTTAATTCAATAAATAAGTATAAACTTCTTTTATGCACCATATCCCTTCAGGATGTGGGCGATCATGGCTCTTCACAACTTCCTACCATTTGTAGCTCTTAGCGATGTTTGCTTTTTTCTCCCCACTCGTCAGGTACGTTATTTGCTGTTCTCCTCCGTTCCTTTTGACTAATTGTTTTATAACCCTTCACGCAGAACTTTTCACTGCCAGTTCAAGAAAGACATTTGGGTCACTAACACACAAAAAAGAGAATGTCTCATATCGAGAATATTTAATATCGAAAAACATAAGAAATTAATTATTTTTAATAATAGGTGAAAATCTCCACGCTTTGCCTGATGAAGTTTGCGAGACCGAAAACATGTGTAGCAAAATTATGAAAAATAAAGCATAATATTTTTTTCAAATAAAAAAATCCACATTACAACCAAAAACGTTTGTGGTTTCTCTCTTCTTTTTAATATACACAATTTTCTCTCGTTGGAACAACTATAACCTCTTCCCTTTATATATATATATATATATATATATATATATATAGAGAGAGAGAGAGAGAGAGAGAGATAGATAGACAGATAGATAGCTATGTGTGTGTGTGTGTGTGTGTGTGTGTGTGTGGTGCGTGTGTGTGAAATTTCATCCAGAACATATCCATAAAAGGACAGTATGAATAAAGACAAAAGGGAAAATTACCTAAGCCGACGCTGTTTCGTCCTCTGATGGACTTTATCAAGGTAAAATGCAAGAATTTTATTTTGTAACAACTACAAAACTACAACTACCTTTCCCAGTAGCTCTTAATAAATTCTGTCTTTTTGTTATTTCTCCTAAACCCTGTTCCGCCATCCATTTACTCACGTTCACTAAGTATGTTATGCGTTGTTTTCTTCTGTTTCTCCTGCCCTCTATCTGTACCGTGAGTATCAAATTATCCAAGCCCACTTTCCTCAGTATGTGCCCTACAAACCTGAACTGTCTCTTCCTGATGTTAAGTATAAGTTTTCTTTTTGTTTCTATTTTTAAACTTTTTAAAAAGTAACTTTAGCTAAAGTCGCTAAACTAAATCGATAATAAAAATAACCACCTCATGTAATATTTAATTCTTTCCTTGTAGTTTTCGAGAAACATTCAAACTGAAAATAAGCAGACAGAGAAAGAGAGAGAGAATGAGTGTAAGAGTAAAAGAGAGAGAGTGAAAGAGAGAGAGAGAGAGGGAGAGAGAGGGAGAGAGAGAGAGGGAGAGAGAGAGGGAGAGGGAGAGAGAGAGGGAGAGGGAGAGAGAGAGAGAGAGTGTGTGTGTGTGTGTGTGTGTATGAAAGACAGAAAGAAAGAAAAAAATTGAATAAAAAATCGTTGATGCATTGGCCGGGAATCGAACCCGGGCCGCCCGCGTGGCAGGCGAGCATTCTACCACTGAACCACCAATGCTCACGATCAACGGGCTTCGCCAAGACCTAATTCTAGCTGAACTTTACTTGGCGTGTTTTATGAAACGTTAAAAATAATTCGATATCGGGGAGAGAAGCGATGATATCTTGCTACTGCTAATATACATTCACGTTAAGAAATAAGTTTACATTTTTTAAAATGGTTGTCTTTCGACTTTTTCTTGGTGGGAGTAGTTGTGTTGATGGTGGAAATTAGACATTAAAGGCGCGTCTCAATTTCCGAACAGCTCTTCTTACGAACTTTCAGAGATACGAACAAAAAAATTGTCTAAAAATTCAAATTTTCAAGACAACACTACTTCGAAAGCTCAACCGTCTTGCATTGGATAGCATTTACTGTGTGGTTGTTCAGCGTCATCTTATAAATACAACGAAATTAGTGTTTCCAGTGACATCGCGGTGTTTTACAAATAATAATAATAATAATAATAATGTGATAATAATAGTAATAATAATAATAATAATAATAATAATAATAATGTTGGCACCCACTAAATATAAAACCCGACATGACAGAATGGGTCAATATCTGCATTGGAAAATCTGCAACTTCTACGGGAAAGAAACTGAAAGAAACTGGTATGAACACCACCCAGACCCGGTTACGGAGATAGGACCTGTTACAATTCTATGGGACTAACACACTGACAGAACAATCAAAGCCAACCGCCCAGATATTGTTATTAAAGACCACAAACAAAAACGGTGCCTCCTTATTGATATGACAGTCCCTGCTGACTGCAATGTATCTTTGAAGATATTCAAAAAGCTGTCAAAATACAAGGATCTTGAAATAGAAATCTCGAAAATGTGGCATATGGGAACATCAACAATCCCTGTTGTAGTTGGAGCCCTAGGACTGGTTGGAAAATATTGCAGTAGACTAATTGAAGGGATTCCTGGAAGTCAATGCCTCAAGGAGATACAAAAAATTGTTCTGACAAGTACAGCCCACACTTTACTTTACTTTATGTAATTTCTTTTTTTTTTGTCAGTGGAATGTATCATGCAGCCATTTCTAACCTTAGGTCCCTGGGCGGGACCCGGAAAGAAATGTGTAAACGCCAGAAATCAAAGAAAATAAAAATGAAAATAATAATAATAATAATAATAATAATAATAATAAGAAGAAGAAGA